ACTTACACTGAGGTGATTTGGAAGATATTTTATTCAGTATGTTCTAGATTTAGAGTACTAACTTCATTGGTACTCAAAATTGTTATCTCTTAACACCCACAAATTTGGATATTTTAATCTCAAATATGTACTAATTCCATATTAAATTACATTGGTATATGCTGAAGGAATTTCTAAGCAGTATTTAAAGCAATCTTACAGAAAATATTAAAGGATCCATAAATTTAATTTTTGGAAGTCCTCAGACTTTTTAAAAGAATCATTTTACAAAGAATATTTTAAAGTGACAAGTTATCTGTCATCCTGATGCTCCCAATAATCAATACTCAAAAGAAATAAAGTTTGTATGAATGTTCCCCTGTGCTTTAGACCATTTCACATACTTTAGATCACTAAAATACAGGTGTAGAGATAGGTAGGTAGATTTTTTTCTTTTAAACATTTAAAGGCCCTCTCCCTTTCTTTTTTTTTTTTTAACATCGAGTGACAGAATCCATTTCTCACTAGGTGAAATGCATGTTTATTTTGCAAACATGAGTGATTTCTGCTTTAAGAAGCATGCAACTTAAAAAAAAAAAAAAAAAGAATTTGCCAAAGGATCACCTTAATGTAATGAGTCCCTCTAGAAAATTAAGTTTATATTTTACATAATTTGGCAAGATACTGGGGTTTTAGAAACTCAATAACTGTATTCTTGAAAGAATACCAGTATGATTATACTTGTTCCTGATTATTAAATTTAAAATAAATAAAATGTATCTGCAATCACCTTGTTTATTTTTGCCAACACAGTTTTAATTTTTATATGATTAGAAAAAAGCTAAGACCAGGTAGTATAAAGCATGACTAATGCTAGTTTTCTTTTTTAGCATCTCTGGAATGTGATTTTTAGATATTTGTCTCATCATCAATTCTGAGAAAATCTAAAAACAACTTTTTAAAGTAATATACTAAAATGTGTAAGAAAAGTAGTTTTTAAATAATTCTGATGACATTTTTAAATGAGTGTAAATTATATGGAGAAAAATCAAACACATAATTGCAATCAGCATTTCATCAAAAATAAAATGAAAAGTCCATGTAATATAATGAAAATGGACTCACATTTACAAGCTGAAATATCTCTTAAACTAATGAAGTTCCTCAAATCTTCTGTGAAAATTAATGGAGTAAAATATATAGAGATTTTTTTTTAATCTCTTACTGCTCCATTGTAACTTTTTTTCTGCTTTTGAAAGATTATTGACTTTAATAACTTTTAAAAATAATATGCAGATTCTTCATAGTTTTATTCATTGTGATCAATTTCCAGCATAATTACCAAAATATTTGAGAATATCTTATATATGAAGTTGAGACCTACTTAGTTTGAGATGAATTGGCAGATATCTTATTCAACTTCTGTAATTAAAGCACCAATTTCAGAGGTGCTTAAAATTGTTATACCTTAAAATTCCACAAATTTGGAAATTTTATTCTCTGGTATATATTAATTCCATATTAAGCTACTTTTGTACTATGAATTTATAAGTAGTATTTAAAGCAATTACAGAAAATATTTAATCTACTTAAAAGTCATAGATGTTGTATTATAGTATTTTCACATGCCCAGTACACTTAGAAAAGAAATTCACAAATATACAATTAAACAACTGCGAAAAATTAAATGTTAATCAGTATGTATTAACAATGCTAGATTCCTTAACAAACAAAACAAGGGTCAATAGTTTTACTACTAAACTAAAAGTTTTTTTCCCCTTCAAATCAACCAGTTTTATTTAGGAATAATCCTTTGTTATATTAACGTTAACTAATAATTATACTTTTTACTTATTTAACAGTGCACAAAGCATATAGACTGCTTCCCATGCATAATAAATAAAATTTTCAGCCAGTTATACCTGGTATAGGTAACAATGACAAGTTAAACCCTTAAAACATATAAGCTACTGCAAATTCATTCTAAACAATGTTGTGGATTCAAAAGGATATTTTATACCAGATGTCTCTTGCATTTTACAATTATTTCATGCACTAAAATTTTATTTCAAATATGTTTTCAAGAACTTAGCATTTGTATTTTCCTCACATATGTACAATCACTTACGTTTCTCTGGAATCAGAGTTTCAAAACTATTATCTTAAAATTCTTTAATAATAAACAAAATGATGTAAATCTAATATTAAAAGGACTGGGAAGACAGATATTATATAGTTTCTATATTGATTTAGGAGTATGGCTTCAATTATTAGTGTAGGACTTGATATCCAATGGAATATTAATAGAGATATACATGCCTATTGAAGATGAAGGTTTTAAAACTGAATAACTTAACAACCATTTTATTTCATACCTATACTTCACATATTTATCCATTACTATTATCATGACTGAAAAATTCTTAGCTCCTGCATTAACTGAAAATATTCATGTACATCTGTCTGATTTCATGTAAGACATGAGCCATTCATTACCTTAGTTAAAGGCATACATAACATTATAAGTCATGAACTTATATACTCTACTTCTGAAGAAAACTCTGAGTCTATATTTTAAACATATATTTCTAAAATAATAGAATAATATTCATGGGTAGGAGTATTAGGGCCTTAAAGACAAATATATTTCATATCTAAATAACATTTTACTTTAACTGATGAACTTTATGGGCAAAACAATTTGTGGATAGAATTTTCTGTTATATGACCTTTGTTCACTGAGACAACTAGGCAAGAGGGTTAAATATGGCATTATTTTAGGGGACAGCCCAGTGGACTTGGAACATTCCATATTATTGCAGGGAAATCTCATAACCTATAGACCAGCATTAGTACACCACCAGCTGCCTGTGCTGACATGTGGACAGACATGGCGAAAGTCCAAACCTCCAGCTATCTCTCATTCTTAAATTTGCTCAGACCAGAGGCTAAAATGTCAAATGAAACAAAATTAGTGAGGACCAGCTGTTAATTGCTCACATTAGGTAATCTCCAAAACCCAATCCTTTGGTCTTCATCTCGGGAGACTAGAAACCTCAGAACAGAGGAGCTGAGATCTAGGGATACCAGCACTGACTGGACACCTCAGTCTCCTTAAAGAATCTCTTGATATTACTGAGGTTATATGAGTTCCTCCACTCTGACGAGACATTCCTGAGGCTATCAGGAATCCCAAAGTGATTTGGAGAATGCTTGGATTTCTTCAAAAGATTCTCTTTGCAACATAGAGCATAACCGCCTTCATGTGGGTATCAACTGACCATGAGCTGTTGTATAAAGGAAATGAGGGGGACAGAAGGATACCTGCAAACCCAATGTCAATGTACCAACACACCAACACTGATGTTACATAGGCAACATCCATTAACGGTTCCAGACTTGCCCCCTTCACTGTTACTGACTGAAGCAGAGGAACAATGTACAGGCACAGTCATGGAGCACAACTGCAAGAGTCCATCCTTACAACAGCAAACCTGCAGGGGTAATGACCACACTGCCTGCTGAACTACATCTACTTGTCCTCTGGGACTTACCAGAGGAATCAGACTCTCTAGGAAACATTCCCTGATAACCGGCCGCTACTTTTGCATTAGATGTTATTCCTATGTACACACTGCGCTTAATCACGTTAGCAACTGTAGCAAAAAATATTAGAGTGATATTTACATCTTCATCTTGAACACTAGAATGTGAAGTTCCTGCAAACAGAAACCATGATTATTTTATTTTTACGTCCCCAGGACCGAGTCTAGGGCCTAGCATTCAGTAAACGCTCGCTGAATGGAAGCTGAATGAAGGCGGCACCACCACATCTACCACATCTGCCACATCTGCCACATCTGCCACATTACCGATTTGGAGGCAGGGAGATGAGATGCCTTAAAAAACACCCAGATTTAACAGTTCTTAAAAAAAAGATGGACAGCATGAAGTGAAAATGCCATGACATAGCCTCCTCAATGCTGGAATGAATGTAGTTATTATAACATCAGAAAGTATCAGTGAACCTGCCACCACTAATTAATAACACCTTGTAGGCCTATGCATGGAGACCTATATCATTTATTATAATGATAGTATTTTAGTACCATAAACACTTAAAACCAAGGAAGCTAGTTTAGAAAAAAATAATTTAAAAAAATCTGTATACTTCTGGAGCTCCTTTTTCTATATGTTAAATTTATCTGAAGCATTCAAATGGTTTTATTATTTACTCACTTTCTAGTATATTGTTACAAAGTATTTGAAAATTGTTCTAATTATTTAGAATGGAATAGCTAATATCACTGAATTAAAAACGCAATGTTTTATATGTGGATAATTCGCTCTGAAATAAAATTTAATTTCCTTCTTTTGAAAAAATGGTTTTACAAAAGCAAGTTCAATTTAAAAAAACTATTATGCAGAGATTTCTGATGAAACAAAAATATACACTTACTTCATTAAAAGATATAAAAGATTTCCTGTGTATAAAACTTTCATGAAAGTATGAGCCTGTAAAAACACTGCAATCTCTGCCAACTTTCCTGTCATTTATGAAAGACATAAAACATTAATTTACTATCTGCCCTTTTAAATTTAACTTGCTTTTTCTAAAACATCCTTGAAACAACAAGGAGACACCTTGGAATGCGGGCTGAAATATGTACTCTGGATACATTTTAGACAAAAGATGTGATCAAGGCAATCACAATAGGAGGATAAAGCAGACAAACTTGAATTAGTATCACAAGTGCACAGAGAATGAATCTTGATTAAGTAGTCAGAAGGCAAGTGCTGCATATACAAAGCACAAAATACAGTCTAATAAATACTTCACATGCTCAGGTGATTTCAGCTTAACTCTTGCATGCAACTCCATGAAAGTCTAATGCAAGTGTGTGCTAAATGGTTTCTTTCCCCTAAGACAAAACTACGCAAAACTTTGAGAATCTCTTAACCACTACGCACTTTTACAATGCCAGAGAAGAAAAAGAGAAATTATTAATTTTTAAAATTACCCAGCAATTCCATTGCATCATCTTCATTATCAATATCTTCTTCTGTTACCGATGGGGTGGGGCTATGGACAGACTCAAAAGAATCTTGAGAGAGCATTGCTGCCAGAAGTTTCTTATGCTGCTGTTGCTGCTGTTTTAATCCTTTAGTCTTGGGCTCCACCTTTAAGCTGAAGAAACAGTTAAATGTTAATATTCAGTGATGATAACATCATCCATTAGCTGTGGTAACTGAAGAAAATCTACAAACAAATTTTCACTCAGTTTTTTGCTTTGCAAATCTATGCACATATTAGTGAAATTTTCCCCAAGGATAATGGAAATGGAGCCTGTCTTCTTTCTAAGACGTCCTTCGGTACCTCATTAACAATTTCCTAGATTGGAATACATGAAGAATACGACAACCCCTGCCCCATTTAAGGGAGGAGGTGCTATTTGGCTCCTAACAATTGTTGCCATGTGGGAATTAAAGCCCACTATGAATGGATTTCTAATTTTTTAGAGGAGGTAGGAAGTTCAGATCATTATATAAAATTCCCTGATTTACAAAACAAATGCATGTCAAGCAAAACACATGTAATGGGATAACTATTTTAACACACTATAATAACATTTTTTCAATGCAAACTTTAATTTCCATCATTAAAATAAATGTCCTCACTAGTCCTCTCATGTTGCCTAGGTCTGGGGGTAGGACAGGGTAGAAGGAGGGATGGAACCAGAATTGGCATTTAAATGACTCTCAGTGCCCTCCAGTCTAAAGGAGTCTTTGCAAATTTGGAAGAGCTTCCTGTGATAAAGCCAGACTCCTTTGGGTAAAGGAGCCAGTCTTTCATGGCTCTCTCCCCCAACTTCCCAAGACAGTGTCTGACGGGAAAACTTACATGTCCACGTGGCAACCATTTATAGTTTTAAAAATTGTCCCAAGGTTCTCCTCTTTCCTATAATCTGATTTCTTTCCATATAACTGCCCAAAGGAAGAAAACGGCAAATGTCACCTCATGAAGGAAAAAGACATGATGAAAAGGAGGAGGTCTCTCTTAAGCAGGAAGGAGAGAGGACCCTTTCTAAAGGTGCTCAGAGAGAAGGTCCAGGAGGGAAGGCAAATGAGCAAGGGGCTACATGCACTTGGTTAAAAAAAAAAAAAAAAAAAACCAACCAGGTGAGTTTCAGGGCATGGATCAAAACATTTCAAGCGGTCTTAATAGAAGAGCCAGGTTCCACACTGTCTAAGAGAAGGCTGGAAAGGGCAAAATGGCATCGTATGTCATCAGTGGGCAAAGACCAGTCAGCTCCACCTCACTGTTCACTTCAAAGCTAGGCGGAGCACGACAGAGAAGACCAAGGGAAACGGGTGGAGAGAAGGCTTGTTCTCTCCCCCAAGTTAAGGCTATTTAATAAATGCACAAGGAATGATGGAATCAGAAAACCACCATTTTAACCACCAACACAGTAACTGCTCAGGCAAGGATCATCAAGGGATGCTAATGCCCTTTGCTGACAGATTGTTGGGGGAGAAGGACTGTCAAAAATCTCAAGGTGGTTTCCAACAGATTATTTATGTTTCTACTTGAATTGTTTTGCTTTTAAAGAATTATAGATTTACATGAAGTTGTAAGAAATAATACAGAGAGATCCTGTGCACCATTGATACAGCGTCCCTCAATGGTAACATCTTATAAAATTATAGCACAATATCACGGCCAGGACACTAACAATGATACAATTCTCCAATCTTATTCATGTTCCCATTTTAATGGGACTCACTTTTGTGTGTGCCTCTCTATGTATTTAGTTCTAGACTATTTTAGTATTTTTGTGGGTTTGTGTATCATGTATCCACCCCCACAGTCAAGGTACAGACCAGGTCAAACACTACAAGATTTCCTTGTGTTGTCCTTTCCTAACCATTCCCACCTCCCTCTATAACTCTCCTTCCCCTTCCCTCATTCCTGGCAACCACCAGTCTGTTCCCCATTCCTATAATACTGCGATTTTAAGAAATGTTATGTAAGTGAAATCATACAGTACGTAATCTTTTAGGATTGGCTTTTTTCATGCAGTACAATTAATTCCCTGGAGATTCATTCATGTAGTTGTGTATATCAGAAGTCCATTCCTATTCTTTGCTGTGTAGTATTCCATGGCATGGATATACTCCTGTTTATCTAACCAGTCACCCATTGAAGGACATCTGGCTGTTTTAAGCTTCTTGGCTATTAAGATGGAGCTGCTATGAACATTCATGTACATGGTTTTGTGTGAAAGTTTCCATTTCTCTGAGATAAATGCCCAGAGTGCAGATGCCAGGTTATATGATAGTTTCATGTTTAGCTTAGGTTTTTTTTTTTTTTACATTTACATTATCAATGTGTGATTATTTTAATATCTCTAAATGTGTCATGAATATATATGCCTTCCCACTAAACAGCTATAGACAGATGCTTGAATATTCATGGAAAAGGAGATGACATAGGATTTGGTAAATTATTGACACAAGAAGAGGTGGAAGATTACCACAGTGTGAAAACATGAGACTTAGAACTGGTGATAATTTCAGGGGGAAGAGAGACAGCGAGGTCTGTAAGCAGGAATGAGATGCAAGGTTCACACCTCCCTCTTCTCCTGTGGATTGCACAAGTGAAAACTGCATCATTAGAGAGAAAAGAGGGTCCTGCTACTGGGAAGTAGGGGTCTTAATGCACACAAGTGGTGAGTAAGTGGGAAGAGGTGGGGTTTGGAGTCTTTCTCAGAGCACTCAGATTTCTGGGTCCCCTTATTTAGACTTTGGACGTGAATCTTAATAACAGGATTCTTAGAATACCTTCCTGAAGAAAGGCTGTATAGCAAAGCATTTAAGCATACGGAATTTGGAGCAAGATAGCCTGGCTCAGTCACTTAATAACTATCCAATCTTGGGATAGTGATGTAACCATGCTGGGACATAGTTTCCTTATTCCTAAAATAGGGGTAATAGTAATGTTCTCAAGAGGATGAAATGGGTTAAGATATGTAGAACACATACAGCAGTCTACTAATTGGTAATTAATATCACTATATGTTCAAAGAACACAATGGGCAGCATCCTAGATATTTACATGTCTTTTCTTGAGCCATAACATCCCACATCCCAACAAACAGAGAAAGGAAATAAAAAAATATCTTGGGACTTCCCTGGTGATGCACTGGTTAAGAATCCACCTGCAGGTGCAGGGGACATGGGTTCCACCCCTGGTCCAGGAGGATCCCACATGTCACAGAGCAACTAGGCCCATGTGCGACAACTACTGAGCCTGTGCCCTAGAGCCCACGAGCCACAACTACTGAGCCCCTGTGCCACAACTACTGAAGCCCGCGCCCCTAGAGCCTGTGCTCCGCAACAAGAGAAGCCACTGCAATGAGAAGCCTGCGCACCCACAAGAGAAGCCACCACAATGAGTAGCATGCACACTGCAACGAAGAGTAGCCCCCGCTCACAGCAACGAAGACCCAACACAGCCAAAAATAAATAAATAAAATAAAAAAGAATAAAAAGCCAATTCTTAAAAAAAAAAAAGTGTCTTTATGAAAAAGAATAGCAGCTACATTTCAATGTGGTGTCAATACACTGTAGGACTCCATTTTGCTTTGGTCTAAAAGGTTAAGTTCTAAACCAGGATCAGCTGGAAAAGGACAGTTTAAAGTGGCCACGCCCTCCACTTCTTCCCACTGGATGGCCTGCCTCCTACCATCTGCTCTCTTCCTCCTGGCCGCACTCTTCCAGGGGGCCTGACCTTGCTCCATTTTGTTTCACACTCTGACTCTGAACACAGGTTGGTAAGGATTAATTTTATCTGGCCACATGTGCTCTCTTTGGTGGAAAACTGGATGATTCCCCTCTTGAACTATCTCCTAAGCTTGTTTAGTTCACCATTGCAGCCTAATAGAGAAATCTGTGCCCTTTCTCTTGACTCTAATCAGAAATTAAAGGGTTCTCTTTTATTAAGGCCCAGGCTGTTGAAGAGATAACAAAAAGTTTCACACTTAATAGCTTCATTTTGATTTATGCAAAAGAGCTCTGTCTTTTTTTCTTCACGTCTAAATGTGATGTTTTATAATTTATTTAGCAGACATTTATTAAGTGTTTGCTACATACCAGGCATTGTGGGCACTGAGCTGCAGAAATAAGACACATGTCCTTGTCATTCTCCTCGCTTTAAAGCAAGTACTTTGAATCTAGGATTTTTGTTTTCATATTGGTCTCACCCAGTACCCAGCACGTCACCTTGTGTTAATGCTCAATAAGTATTTAACAAATTCACTCCTTCTTTTTGAACCTCATTTTTTCTAACACACTAAATAAAATAAGAATTAATTTAAGTAGATGTAATCTGAGTCTTCCAACTTGACAGATGTGAAAATCCAGGGAAATGGAAAGGTTGGTAGTGAAATAAAAGAAGGAAAAACAGATTGGAATGTGAATAATGAGGAACAAATGGTAGATAATAAATTTGTAACTCCTAGTCACCAGCTGACAATGACCAAGACCATTTCATGAAGGTCGAAGCAAGTGTTTTCATTAAAATACATGGTTTGGAGGGCTTCCCTGGTGGCGCAGTGGCTGGGAGTCCGCCTGCCAATGCAGGGGACACAGGTTCGTGCCCCGGTCTGTGGGGATCCCACGTGCTGCGGAGCGGCTGGGCCCGTGAGCCATGGCCGCTGAGCCTGCGCGTCCAGAGCCTGTGCTCCGCAACGGGGGAGGCCACAGCAGTGAGAGGCCCGCGTACCGCAAAAGAATAAAAAAAAAAATAAATAAATAAAATAAAATAAAATACATGGTTTGGCCATGACGATAGTGCTGGGCTATAAGAACTAGACACTGACTGAATCCAAAATGTTGCCTGTCTAATAATAAGAGTCCATCTATGAGTCTATGAGTCCAAAGATGACTAGCAATGTGTTTCATAAAATAATTATTTGAATTACTATATGTATTTCCTAAATAAATGAATTCCTAAATAAATGAGAACAAATTTTGAATATATTAAAATGACCTCATCAATATTCTGAAACACATGGGTTAGCTACATATCAATACTTCTTTTGGTTTTAAAGATAAATTTGTGAGTCGTAAGATACAATTTCTGTATGTTTTAGATATTCTTAAGGTTTCTGTTCTTTGATTACTTTAGCAAAATCATTTTTGATTAATCAATATTCTTTGTGCTTAAAATTTGCATGTGAGAATATTCCTAAATTACCAAGCCTGTTTTAGTCTCTGCCACGTGTGTTGCATATTTTCTAACATGTCCACAATAGCCAAACTTAGACAGTATTAAGGTGACTTCTTTATTCTTGACCACTTACATTAAAGAGTGCCCTCCATCCATTTTCTTCCTTCTTGTTCTGGTTTATTTCCCATCATACCACTTATCACTACTTGAATTTATGTCATAAATTCGTATATTTGCCTGTTTATTGTTTGTCTCTTGCTGCCAAGAGAGGAGCTCTAAGAGGAGGGGAACATTTCTAGGGTTTGTTAACAGATATATCAGAAGCAATTATGAGCTTTAATGAAAAGGAACACTTCTTAATGGGAAGTGAATTTAGCTTCTAATATTTAATATATATTTCTAAGTTGTAAGATTTTCTATTCATTTCATGGCATATTTACCATCTAATAACAATGCTCACTTAATGAACAAAGCCAATTCACAAGATCTATAATATTTATTGATATTTTTCTTATTTTAATAAAGTGGTTCAGCTTAGAGGAGCTTCGTTAGGCTTTCAAGGCTTGGTAAGCCTATTTAAAAATTCACATTATAATTTAGCAAGTAATTTTAGGAAATCTATTATCAGCTATTGCAAAGTCGAATTAAGATGGCTCCAAATAGAAGTATATAGGTTTATTAACTCAATTTTTATTTACATTTATATTATCAATGGGTGATTATTTCAGTAACTATAAATGTACAAGAAATATATATGCTTTCCCACTAGATGGATGGACAAACCATGGCAACCGATGCCAACTGGTAGTGCGTGATGGTCACAGGAAGCCAGCAATCATTCCCTAACGCATTCACCTCTCCCTTATGAATCCTTCTTCCTTTTCTTGCTCAGATGCTTTAATTTCTTTCTTAAACTCTCTTAATCTAGAAGCTCTTGGAGAATCTAAGAAAGATGTGGCAGGAAAATGTCCATTTGCACACACGGGGCATTTTGCACATAATTTCAAGAGACTCATAGATCTCTTGAGTCCTTCCAGAGATCATGTAGGGGTCATGAACTCCATGTTAGTAGCTCTTGTCTTATTTTATTAGTTTCTCCATATTGCCCTCATAATTGCCTTCGTCTTAACCAGCACTTAACCTTTCAGGTGACAGCTATGTATACTAAAGTTGCTGACCCTCTTCACACGATGTTGTATTTGTAGGACCTAAGGAAAAAGTTCAGGTAAGGTATATCATTAAAAAAAAAAAAAGTTCCTGGAAAAAATCGTGGCTCAAAGTCTACCCATAAGAATCTCAAAGTTTACTACACCGTTTATTTAATCTTCTCTAATCTAATGGTGGAAGTCCAGCCAATCATGTATGTATTGTTCTGAATGAACGGGAAAGTTGGTTATGTACTAAAGATGGAGTGTTGTAATAACAGCCATTCAAATAAGACTTGAGCAGTTAACGAGAGGGAAATCCATAATAGGAAAAGGGATAAAAAGTTAAGATAGACTATAAACAACCCTTCTTATAAATAAGTTTTATTAATCAGACGTCTACTCACGGCCTTCTATGTGCCTCCTTCACTCACAGAACAGATGCCTACTGACAATGGCAATGTGCCAGACCCAGTAGGGGAGAGAAAAACGGAAGAAGTCATCCTTGAAAATTAAGTCTTCTCTTTCAAGAGTCTAGAATATCATTTAGTCTGTTAATGTTTAAGACTGTTAAATTATAAATGACAAGATCATTACTATTTAAGGGCAAAAGTTAAAACTCTAGCTATAGACACTACAGTCATTAAAAAATTGTTCCCCAATCTGTTTTTATTCATTCAAATCAAATCTAATGCTATGTGAGTTCCTGGTATAAATTCAGAAATCCTGGTTTTATATTAGAGGATGGGATATAGTTCCTAACCTGTACTTAACTGCTACTCTTTACATTTAGTTCAGAAAGCATGCATTCTTTTTTTTTTTTCCTCTAATGGGGCATCTGGGCAGGATTTCACCACTTTCTTCATTTCATAGGTAATATATCAACTCATAATTTAAAGATAGAGAAAAATAAAACTGAAAACACCTTTTCAAAACAGATATTTGAGTGAGATCTTCATGGATTAAGTTTTCTGGGTAACGGATCTGACCAGGATTGCAGGAAAGATTCTCCTTTATTGGATATTCAAGAGGGAATAAGAGCTCACTGAAGCTAGGAAGGAAACAGAAGCACTAACGTTTGCAATAAACAGCTCCTATTTATTATTATGACTAAATGAAAGCAAAATGAAAGTCAACATTTCTCTATTTTATATTTAAGAACTAAAGATCTAGCAATGAATAAAGATAAAGGTCTAGTGGGTTTCATTAGTCTAGTGTTAGAAATAAAATTACCCTCATTGACAGGTGAAATTGATCTGACATTTCACAAAAGAAGGTAAATGGATTTTTAGAAATGCTTTTCTTCTCCTTATATAGTACACTTCAACTATTTAAATAATTTAAAGGTTATTTCTCATGGAAATAGAAGCAATTTTCTATATGCCTGAAGCGCATTAACGAGTATTCTGAATTTCCTTCCCTCCAGCCAAGTGATAAGTCAAAGTAAAAAAAACCCTGAAAGCCATATTACGTTGTAGAAAATACAATTTTCTTCTTGAGAAAGAATAATTATTGGTTGCTGCTAAATTTAATGTAGGAAATACAAAGTTACTGTGGCTATGCTGTATATGGGAAAAACTCTTCTGTGGTGGTCAGCTAGTAACACTCACAGAAAGTTTAAGCTCCTGTCACATTTTAATTCATGAGTATTTTTTCTCAATATCGTGTGAGCCGTGCCTCGATAATGCTTTTTCACTCCAACTTCCTTGTAGAAGTTTTCATTTTTGTTTCGAATTTAACTCACTTCAGTTAGTATTACAAGAAATGGCTACACTGAATATACTGATACTTTTTCTAAAAAATATGATCTAGACTTTTCAAAATTACCCCACTTCTACCAGCATACGGAAACTTGAGGCAAATCTTCTGACACCATTTTGAGCATCATAGGGCTGAGTAAAATGAATTAGGGACTTTCAAATTCACAACTCACAATAGTTTCAAGAATAATTTCAAAAATTAAACATAGAGAATGTAATAATTACATTCAATCATAGTTATCAACTCTAAACTAAAGGTTTCTCTCTATATTCCATCTAACTCCACCTTGTGTAGTCTATCATACATTTAATAGTTTTCTTCTTGTTGAACAACTAGATCTTTATGGTACATCAGAATTCCTCCCTCTCCAATCTTAACAGTCAGCCCAATAATATAGTAGGTCCCATCCAATATTATAGTAGGTCTCAACTGACAGTTTATGTCCTGAAATTATTTTTCTGTTTGGTTTTAGTAACAAAGAGATGATACTCTTCTTAGATGTAAAGAAAAAAAAAATCAAAACCAAATCCATAATAAAAGCAAATCTAATAAAACTCTAATTTTAAAACAGATAAATTAATTCTTATCTTATATGTAACATAATTTTCTATATAAAATTGCCAAGTGATTTCATCAAAATCGTGCACTTGATTTCCCCTTTGCCTTAAATGATTAAAATATTCAGAATCTTAGACGACATCTCATCTCACCTTCCTGCAGGGCTAGAGCTATTATCTTCATTTTCCCATTGTTCATTTTTACTTCTTGGAATTGGGGGCTGTAGCATTTCAGCAGCCAGTGGATCAGCGTCATTCTCTTCTCGACCAATCCACTCTCCAATTACACGGGGTCTCAGAAGAGAAGAATTAAACGCCACTGTTTCCTGAGGAGAAAAGAAGAATTTCTGTGCCTTAGATTACATATTCCCATTAATAGGACAACAGGGAAATAATCTTGTGCAGATTTTAAACTGCTCCCTCAAATCAAAATGTTCCTTTTTTTCTTTCTGAATTGACTTAAAATTTCAGTTCTCTCCGTCTCTACTAGATGGCTTACTCTCTATGATTTGTGCTGACTCGTGAAGGCCACCGTGAGAAAGGATCCAGAAGTGAAATCTCTGGTTTGGACAGCTGCATGTTTGTTCTCAGGATGGCGGGGCAGGATTAGCATTTGTGCCAGAGGGAGGAGCGTGTGCGAAGGCCCACACAGCGGAAGAGCTTGGTGCTGCTAGAAAATGATACATAAGCTCTCAAATATGGAGGAAACTGAGGTGGAGTCAGGGAACAAAGTCAAGAAGAGACAGGGCTGGAAGGATGCATTGCCTCCAATTGCAAAGCACTCTGGACTTCTAGAAATCCAGTAGAGGTTGGAAGCAGAGCACTATCGATGATGGGCATGCTATGACAATTCAAAACAATGCTAAACTCTTTTCATAGACTTGGATGTGATGTGGCTCTTAAAACGGTATTTTAAATATTTAAATCATTTAATAATTTAAAACGAATACTGAACACGTGCAACTGCTACGGGTATCTTGGTACATGGGAAAAAAGCAGATTAAAAAGCAATACGTATTGTATGATCTAATTTTTGTTTAAAAAATTCATATGGGCTTCCCTGGTGGCGCAGTGGTTGAGAGTCCGCCTGCCGACGCAGGGGACACGGGTTCATGTCCTGGTCTGGGAAGATCCCGCATGCCATGGAGCGGCTGGGCCCGTGAGCCATGGCCGCTGAGCCTGCGCGTCCTGCTCCACAACGGGAGAGGCCACAGCAGTGAGAGGCCCGTGAAAAATAAAATAAAATAATCAATTAAGAACTCTAAAACAAAGGTGCCGCACGCAGTATGGGGAAGTGACCTGGATCTCTGCAGTAGTTTATCCGAGATAGTCATCTTTGAAGTGGATGCCTCAGCAATCAAAGCTTAAGTCAGGCACTTGCATTATAAAAATAACAAACAAACAAAAACTGTCAGGGTTTATACTACAATCTATCAATCCAGCATTCATAGACTAATCCATTCATTTATTCATTCTTTTATACTTATTATGACCTACTATATGCCAGATACTGCTTGATTTATTGGGAAAACAACGGTAACACCAAAATGTAATGGTTTTATCTGAATGGAGGGACTACAGGTAATTTTAATTCTTCTTTTGGCATTTCCATGTCTTTTCAATATTCTATGAGAAATATGTACTTGTCTTAAAATGAGAAAAAACGTATTTTTAAAATATCTTGATCTGAGAAACACAGGCTTTTAATTTGTAATATTACAAGAGTCTTGAACAATTCCTTAAAAATTTAGATCTGATTTTCTGAATCTGTACAATTCTCCTCAATATTATACAAATACGGGGCTTCCCTGGTGGCACAGTGGTTGAAAGTCCGCCTGCCGATGCAGGGGACACAGGTTCGTGCCCCGGTCCGGGAAGATCCCACATGCCACGGAGCGGCTGGGCCTGTGAGCCATGGCCACTGAGCCTGCACGTCCAGAGCCTGTGCTCCGCAACGGGAGAGGCCACAACAGTGAGAGGCCCGCGTACCGCAAAAAAATAAAAAGTCAATATTATACAAATACTATATTATAATATATACAATGTAGCATTAATTAATATACAAATACACACCAAAAGCAACATGTGAAATATGACTAAGACATATCTGATGAACATTTATCCAAGTGATTATAAGTGATAGAAAGTAGCTGGATATCTCAATATTGATTCCCCAGCCTACAGGAAAATGTAGTAGATAAATTTTCGTGTTTGTATAATGTAGCAACTAATATGAAATCCTTCTGTATTTATATTCCCAAAGCTTGCAGCTGTGAAATCATGCAATCAAATTAATGTTTTGCAATTACTGGAAAGGCATATTCATCTGCCACAATTTAATATCATTTGAAGCACAGGAATTAAAATTAACAGCAATACTGTTAAATTTTAAACGTATATTTGCATTTAAGAGCAGATTAAGGAAAAGACCTGTTCTAGAGAAAAAAATCTATAAACATATTTACAGCTTCAGAATCAGTTTTGGCCTGTGTGACTTTGAAATGTTACTTATTCTCTGAATTTTGTTTTCTCCAACTATAAAATGGTCATGATAGAAATTATAAAACCTACTGTATCAAATGAAATAGTAAGAAGCATAGTTAAACCACAGAATTCTGTACATATGCTAGACACAATTACTTAAGGATGTGGGCTGTATTTAAACTACTTCTAAATATATGACGTAACTGGGAAAAAATGGTACAGAACAGCAGGAATGGGTGAGTTAGGTGAGAACAGATGCTTGGTTGTCAATATGGGCAGAGTAACAGAACAGGGAATTGATAATACAGGTTTTCATTCTATAAAGTTTTATTTTACAGAGAGTATATTAAAAAGATTGGATAATTAATTTAGCATTATCAATCTCTACATAATGGGACAGAACTGGGCTTAATAAGAATTGGGACAAAGAAACTGACCACTGACCACAACAGAAATGGGTGAGTTTAGGCATTATAAATGAAAAAAATGAAACAGGATTTAGAGTTGAGAATGATCATAGAGTTGAGAATGATCTTAAAGTTGAGAACTGCAGAGAATGAGAAATAACTTTTTGGTTGATTACTGGGAAATTAAATGATAGATGCCACTGCTATTGGAAAGTAGAGCACAGAGAGAAGGATAAATAGTTTGATATGCAGCCTGTTTAACTCCAGCTGGCAGCAGAAATTTAGTGAGAAATAGCTGATGAGCAAAGCAATACAAAGAGCTGCAAATAGGGTCAGAGGAGTTAGGGACTGAATATTTTACAGGTGAAAAGTGGGACTCTACTATTTTTATTTTTCAGAATGCACAAAGCTATTCTTATATTTACTGCTTTATGAGAATGTTATATCTCTAAAAATTCTGGAATATAGTCCATTTACTTGTAACAGAGCAAAACAGCAGATTTTTCTTTGGTTCTATTACTTATATTTGATTAAGCTAAGTAAAAATCTCTCCATAAATCATTATGAAAGGATTTCAGTGGAGAAAGCGGTTCCACAAATATCAGTACATGGCAAAAGAAATTTTAAAACTTCACACTGAATACAAGTTCTGGAAAATATCTGAAGTACGTGGATAAATAAAACATTTAAAATTTTAGTGCTAAACAATGTAAATGCTAATGATTCCTTAGAAATGTATAAATACATATTCCTTTGCCCTCCTAAGGCTAGAGGTCCCTAAATGTTCAGATTCTTAAACAAGTATGCTTAAATCATAAGAAAAGCATTAGTAGTCAAACATTCTCCAAAGGTCACAGATTTGCTTAATATTTCCTATTAATAGGAAGCTATCCTATCCAAGAAGTAGTTACCTTAGAGGAAGCCTACTCTCTCCAAGCAGCCTACTCCCTCTGGCTAACTCACAGTGAGTTCAACAGCTCTGACCACTGGTTGTCAGCACAACATTTGATTATACTCCACGTTATTCGAATGTTTTCTCGTCTTAATAAAACGAGCTGTTCATGGAAGGCTGGAATCATGTCTTAAATTCCTTTCTCCTCCATAATAACTAGCACAATGATTTAATAAAGTAAGCACAAAAATCTGTCCTGATTGAATTAAACATAATTCAAAGAATAAAAAACGGTGAATTATGAAGTATCTTTATGTCTAAAAATCATATAAAAATTGATGGACAACACTGATTAACAATTTTTTTAACTCTCTTTTTAAAAATTTTTTTTAAAACTTTTATTGATATATAGTTGATTTACAATGTTGTGTTAGTTTCAGGGGTACAGCAAACTGATTCAGATATATATATATATATATATGTATATTCTTTTTTTACATTCTCTTCCATTATAGGTTATTGCAAGATATTGAGTATAGTTCCCTGTGCTGTACAGCAGGGTAAAGAAAAAATCAAGGATGCTGCCATAAGACCCTTCATTAAGACCTCTGAAAAAAACTAAGATGGTGTCTATTAAGAATGTTGTTTTGCAACATCTAAAAGACCAGCAGTTAAATCTAGAGAGAGAGGCATGTCTTGAAAAGAACTGTGGATGTGGTTTTTGGCACCAGAAGAAGACAGGAATCATATACACAGGAAACCCAAACATCATTTGGGATAGTTGAATTGGCAAAGGCAACAGCCTGAAGTAAAAGGGACTGAGGCTATTCAAGAAGTGAACAGCTCTCGGGGACCCATTTTTCTACACAAAGGAAGAAAACTGAGGAAGTTGCCCAGAGGCATCTTTTCCAATGCCTTCTTCAGAAGTGGCCAAAAGGTTAACAAAAAAGAAAGAAACCAGAAGCTGTGGAAAACAATAGATGGGGACTCCCAGGGAACAGAACTGGGGCTTAATTAAGGAACACCTCCCAACCCCTTGGACAGGAAGACCTGATGACATTTGCCCAGCAAGATTTAAGAACTGCTATGAACCAGTAATTTCTATAAACCTCTCATTATTTCCCTTCTCTAACAGGAATATTTAATGTGGTTATCCCACATCAGTCTCATCACTTAACGGAAAAGATGAAACAAAACTATCATCATTCACATATATTTTTTATATAGACAAACCAAGAGAACTCAGAAACAAGTTAAAAATTAATATGAGTTCAGCAAGCTTACTGAATTTAAGATAAAATTAGAAAAATAACATTCATTCCTATATGCCAATAAGTTTTAAAATGTAACTTATAAAACAGATACCATTGACAATAATAGCCCAAAAGAAAATGTACCTAGGAATCAATTTAATAAAAATCTGCATGCTCTTTTTGAATGTAACTATATGATGTTATCATAAAACACTATAATATTTAATTAAATGGAAACATTCTTCGTTCATTGATAGAATGACTCAGAAATGTAAAGATGTCAATTCTCT